GAGGCGTGGAACCCCCGACTCGCCAGGAGACGGCGGTGCAGACTAAAACTCGTGGATTCCGCCTGGTAAGGGGCCGTCCATAAATGACGTCACGCGGTTTTGGACGATTTTTTACCCCCCCCCCCCCTTTTGTCACACGGCGTCACAAAAAGTCAGACCCAACCCCCCTCAAATATGACGTCACAAAGCTCTGCCCCCCCCCCAAAAAACCATTTCCATTTTGTAAAAAATAAAACATGCTTCAAATCGCTTTAAACTATTGTCATTGTAGTGCGTATTTAATGTGGCGCTGCACTCTGATGTAGGAGAAAACATTTATAAAAAAGTATATTTAATTAAGTAGAACGTGTTGCCTATATTTATTTAAAGTTGCGCATTTTGATGTGACGTCACATTTCTCAAACCCCCCCCCCCCCGTCACACATCGTCACAAATGTCTGACCCCCCCCCCCCAGGTGCATGACGTCATTTATGGACGGCCCCTAAGTCCCCCATATGCTATGAGAGTGCTTCTGTCCGTGGACACGTGGGGGTTATCCCTCAGGCGCTCCGGTTTCCTCCCACATGTAAGGGCTCTCTTTAATTGTCCGATAACGTCTGAATATATATAGCATCGCAGACCTTGGGCAATTGTTTGGTAGCGCAAGCGTCACCGTTATCTCTCTCTCTCTCTGCGAGGGTGAGTGAGTAGCGTGTTACAATTTGAAAATAGCCTTATGATCAAATTTGAAGGCTAATTTCAAAATTTTGACATCAACAGGATACAATTACATCATGAGACCTCCTTTGCCAGTACCAAAATATGAGAATAGGGTTTTCCCCTTTTGTCTGGCAACAAAACAGCTGTGTTAAGATGTTGAAACACAAAACTGAAACCTTTTACAAGGAATCATGTCTGCATTCTGATCGCATCCTTGTAAAAAGTTTCAACTTGGTGTTTTAACATCTTTACACTTGTTTTGTTGCCAGAAAAAAGGGGAAAAAACCTATTATCAGGATACAATTACTTTACAAGCAGGAAGGGATTTTACAGCCATTCAGCAGCACCCCAGGGATCTGTTTTACCAAAATGCCAATCCTGCAAATTCACTGTGGCAGCCTTTTCATTCATGCCAATCTTCCCCGTTTAAATATAAATGTAAAAAATATCGTCACACGCTACGCGTGCCTGATGATAGCTCAACGCATCACACGAGGCGTAGTTTCTCATGTCACGAGATTCAAAACAAATGCAAAAACATAACCGTGTAGCCTTTCAAAAGACTTTTGGGGCAAGTGCTGTTAGCGAGCTCCTATTAAGTCAACAGAGTGAGTGTGGTGGCCTGCATCACGTTCTCCCGGCTGCCTGTCTCTCCCCAATGCTGATGTTTACACATCGCACCAGGTACTAATTTAAGGCTGAGTCGACTGAAGGGAGAACCGGAATCCGTTGAGGTTTTCGCCGCTGATGTTGACTGTGAGCGGGAACCATGACGGACAAACAAATAACAAAGATCCCCCGTGTAGCCTTCACAGACTGTTGGGGCAAGTGCTCTTAGCGAGCGCCTATGAAGGCCGGCAAGACACACACGTACAACAATACACACGCGGTGTGCGAGTCTGAATGATCGTTGTCTGCAGGTCGACAGTGACATCCACGTTCATGCAAACAGGACACACAAGATCTCTATACATCAATTTGAATCGGCCCTAGGACGTGTTTACCAACCAACAGGCGTTCGCGGCGTGTAACGACCGAGTTTGTTGTATTTGAACGGTGAAGAACGGTAAACACGGGACGGAGCACATTGATGGGTGTTTTGATATATGGTACTGCACCGGGCCCACCTCACAGTGTGGAGCATGTAAGTTCAAATCACGGTCGGGGGGAGGTGGGTCCACTCATCCCACATTACATCCCATCCCAGTAAACATGCAACGTTGGCGTGTGGTTGGAATCGCTGGACCAAATCTGGCCCAACGTTGGGCCAACATTCCATGTTTACTGCGATTCGGGAATCGCTAAAAATAATACCATTCTGTCACGTAAACTGATATTGTCCCGTGGTTAGACTAAACCCCTCCCGCGCCCGCCACAGGAATGTGGAATTTGCAAGTGGGCTTGGCCAGGTAATATCGCTCGCTGTCAGGCCGTGTTTTTCATTGCAATGCCCGTGGGGTCACTGGCGACCCTGGTGGCCTTTCGTGCGGCCCCCGACAATACACAACACGTGACAACATCGTGCCGTCACACCCAATGGTTGTCAACTGTGTGGCGGCCCTCGCACTGATGTGTATCACGTGTTGTCGGCCAAAGTGCCCCCTGCCCCTCCTCTGAAAATCTAGCGAAGAACACTGCTCTAAGGGATGGTGACCGGTGGTGGAGACCAACGAGAACGGCCGACGCGGAGATGGAGCGATGCAAATGAATACGGTGGTGCGTTGGCACGAAGCGGACTCTTGTATCGCAGGACCGTGACCAGGTGGCAGCCAAATGCTTCGAGGTGCCTTCATCCAGCAGTGGAGCGATCATGGCCCACGTTAATGTCATGAGCATCCGGTCTATATTAGTATGCGAAGGAGTTCCACATACAGTACCTAAGCACACACAACACACTCGAACATCAAACAAATGACATCACACCATACGTTTGAGCTTCTCAATGGTTCACTGCACATGACCTTAGTCCCATGACATCACCAATTGCAACAAAAGCCGGCAGCCCACTCACCGCTCGGTGACGATGACCTCACCGCAGTGCTTGTGCCAGGCTTGGTACACTTTTATCATAAAAAAATTTTATGCCACGTGAAGTGTCGAAGGCTCGCTGGCAAGGTGTTCACAGGACAGGCCCAGGTAATGAAATGGGTTGACTCAGGAAATAGACTCCCACACACAAAGCATACGAGTATTTTATGTATATGTTTTCATCTACATGGTAATATTTGAGTTAGGCCACTAAAATCTTGATGGTCTAGGCAAATATGCCTCGCAAGAATTTGCACCGCCCGAAAAAGCCAAACAAATTAAGTTGTCACGTGTACAAATATTATTCTCTCAGCTCACCCACCGATAAGTTTGAAGAGCATTTTTATCACAACCAAAGTTACCTATGAAATACGACGAAAATCCACGTGTTAAGTAAATTTTTATTATCCAAATGATAAAACTCTGTCTCAATTGATGGGCTCTCACCTGTGCTATTAACACTGCACAACACTGCAACACACACACACCAACTTCGCATTGTCTTGGACCGTGGTGTTGATATTCCGACTTGATAATAAACGCCGACGAGTGATTTGCGGGTAAAGTGTTCACACGTGTTGGGGGGGGGGGGGACGTGCGTGACTTGATATCACACATGCGAGTCGTGATGTCGACGGGTCTTTAATGTCAAATGTCGAGCAAAGCAGGTGTCACACTTCGGTGAGGCCAGGCTATTCGAAACGTCGTGCAAGCAGTGCGTGTACCAGCCTCACCACTCACCTGGCATTGCTCACCACTTATCTGACGGCTCACCACTCACCTGACCCTTACGACTCACCTTATACGCTCACCTCACTCACCTGACAGCGCTCACCACTCACTTGGCACTCACCTGAAGCACTCACCACCAGATATAGCAATTGCCGTTAATTGTTGTATCAGTGATAATTATCAAATGGTGACTACCATATATTGTCTCTCTACTGAACTCTGTCGGTGGTGCTAAATCAGTGACGGAAATTCAGCATTCCCATGGAGGGAGACAATCCTCGCGTAGAAGGCAAACCACTTTTTGTCGACTTCTCTCCAAAGCGGTACCCGTTTTATCGGCCCCGGGGTGATGATGGGCCGAGTCTATTCGCACTCGGTTAAACAAAGGGCCGCATTGCTAACGCTCCTACGGAGATGTATGGACCTTACAGGATGAACGTGGGAAACGGTTGCTGCAGGTCACGTGACGCCGCACAGGCATACACCTGGTTCACCTGGAACTCACCTGGACACACCTGGCGGGAGGGTGGGGGGTGGTGGGGAGGGGGTGAGAGGGGAGGGGGTGAGAGGGGAGGGGTTACACCTGCCTCCCCAATGTGCTCTATACAGTGCGTCTATTTATATGCAGATCCTGTCGGACGAGGAACAGCGGAGGGTTAGAGGGTAGCTGTTGGGTCCACGTGGCTCCTTCCAGAGACGCAGGGCAGCATTTGACACGCACCATTCCCATGGAACACAGCTCTTGTGTGAAGAGGGTGTCACAGTTGTGTAGAGGAGGATAGTATTCACTGTTTAGATGAGAGTATTGAATATATACGGTGATAGTATTGATTGTATATAGTGGTCGTAACTGTATCATTGATTGTATAGACGGTGACGCAAATATTGTATTGAGACTAATACTATTGATTGTATAAATGGAGTATAGTATTGATTGTATCGACAGTTAAGCATTGATTGTACAGTCCTATATTTTTTAAATCAGGAATAGGACTGGTAGCCTAGAGGGTGATGGTATTGGTCGTATAGAAGAGGGTGATCTTGTTAATTGTTTCGATAGGCATAACACTGGCTGTAGGTGAGTGTATGAGCCTATGCCGTGTCTATTGTTGATGTGGTCGCTCAGGCTGGGACACGTGGGTGGTGTTGATGGTGGCTGCGAGGTGGATTCATAGAGGATTAGGGAGGCTGGAGAGGTGCTGGGCAGGGAGAGGAGGGGGTTGGAGAGGCGAGGGAGGGGAGAGCTTTAGCAGCGTAGGGGGAGTGAGTAGAGAATAAGGATCTGGAGAGGAGGGAAGGGGACAGATGAGAGGGGTGTCTGTGGAGTAAGACGGGGTGTCTGCGGAGTCGGGTGAGCAGACGTTAGGGTAGAGGGGTGTCTGGAGCGAGAAGAAAGGCGGGAGGAGCATCTACGGGAGGACCGAGAGGATCCTGAGTGTCTGGAGAGGAGAGAATAGTGTGTTGTGTGTAGGGGGGACAGGGGTGTCTGTAGAAGTAAGCAAGGAAGGGGGGTGGAAGGGGTCCTCTGGGGAGGGAGAGGAGAGCGGCGAGAGCCATGCGGACCGTGATGCCCGCGGAGCCGCTCGTACCGCGCGCCGCCGCCGCCGCCGCCACCGCCGCCGCGGGCTCCCCGGGCTCGAGCCACTCGCGCAGCCCCAGCGCCGGCTCCGTGTGGTGAGTGTCGAGTTCACACACACACAGACACTCAGATACACACACTCACACACACACAGATAGATATACACACACACAGATACACACAGACACACACACTCAGACACTCAGATACACACACTCACACACACAGATAGATATACACACACACAGATACACACAGACACACACACTCAGACACTCAGATACACACACAGAGATAGATATACACAGACACACACAGATACACACAGACACACACACAGACACACACACACACACACAGATACACACACAGAGATAGATATACACTCACACACACACTCACACACAGACACTCAGACACACACAGACACACACACAGATAGATATACACACAGACACACACACAGACACACACACTCAGACACACTCACACACACACAGACACACACAGATACACACACAGAGATAGATATACACTCACACACACACAGACACTCAGACACACACAGACACACACACAGACACACACACAGACACACACAGACACACACACTCAGACACACTCACACACACACAGACACACACACAGATACACACACAGAGATAGATATACACTCACACACACACTCACACACACACACTCAGACACACACAGACACACACACAGACACACACACAGACACACACAGACACACACACTCAGACACACTCACACAGACACACACACACAGACACACTCAGATAGATATACACTCACACACACACTCACACAGACACACACACACACTCACACACACACACAGACACACACACACTCACACACACACAGACACACTCAGACACACAGACACACTCAGATAGATATACACACTCACACACACACAGATACACACTCACACACACACTCACACAGACACACACACTCAGATAGATATACACTCACACACACTCACACAGACAGACACGCACACTCACACACACACAGACACACACACTCACACACACACACAGACACACACAGACACACACACATAGACACACACACAGACACACACACACACACACAGATACACACTCAGACACAGATACACACTCAGATACACACAGATACATTATAGATACACACAGACACACACACAGACACACACACAGACACACACACAGACACACACAGATACACACAGATACACACACAGATACACACACAGACACACTCACACAGACACACTCACACACACAGATACACACACACACAGACACACTCACACAGACACACACAGACACACACAGACACACACACAGACACACTCACACAGATACACACTCACACACACAGACACTCACACACACACAGACACACTCACACAGACACACTCACACACACAGATACACACACACACAGACACACTCACACAGACACACACAGACACACACACAGACACAGATACACACACAGACACATACACACAGAAACACTCAGACACACACAGATAGATATACACTCACACACACACTCACACAGACACACACACACACTCACACACACACACAGACACACACTCACACACACACAGACACACTCAGACACACAGACACACTCAGATAGATATACACACTCACACACACACAGATACACACTCACACACACACTCACACAGACACACACACACAGACACACTCAGATAGATATACACTCACACACACACTCACACAGACACACACGCACACTCACACACACACACAGACACACACACTCACACACACACACAGACACACACAGACACACACACATAGACACACACACAGACACACACACACAGATACACACTCAGACACAGATACACACTCAAATACACACAGATACATTATAGATACACACAGACACACACACAGACACACACACAGACACACACAGATACACACAGATACACACACAGATACACACACAGACACACTCACACAGACACACTCACACACACAGATACACACACACACAGACACACTCACACAGACACACACAGACACACACAGACACACACACAGACACACTCACACAGATACACACACACAGACACTCACACACACACAGACACACTCACACAGACACACTCACACACACAGATACACACACACACAGACACACTCACACAGACACACACAGACACACACACAGACACAGATACACACACAGACACATACACACAGAAACACTCAGACACACACAGATACACACACAGACGCACACACAGACACACTCACACAGACACACACAGACACACACACTCACACACACACAGATAGATATACACACAGACACACACAGACACACTCAGACACAGATACACACTCACACACACAGATACACACACAGACACACACAGACACACTCAGACACAGATACACACACACACAGATAGATATACACACAGATACACACACAGACACACACACAGATACACACACAGATACACACACAGATACACACACACATACACACACACATACACACACATTGATACACACACATTGATACACACACATTGATACACACACATACACACACATCGATACACACACAGACACACACACAGACACACACACAGACACACACACACAGAGAGACACACACAGACACATCCACACACAGACACACACAGATACACAGTTTCAGTTTATTTATTTTGGTATAGCCCTGTGAGCCATTCGGCTCTTGAATCGGGTGCAACCACAACAAACAAAAAAACAAAAACACGAACAAGAAAAACATCTTAAAGTGACTGTGTGTGACTGTGCAAACAGAAAATCCATGAAAAAAGAGCAAAATATTCCTGAAAAAAGCACCGTACACCAACGCTGTGTGCAAAAAAAAAACACAGATACACCCAGACACACACAGACACACACACAGATACACAAACACAGATACACACACATACACAGATACACAGACACACACAGATACACACACACAGATAGATACACACACAGACACACAAAGATACACACACAGACACACGCACAGATAGATACACACACACACACCACACACAGATACACACGCAGATATACACACACAGATACACACACACAGACACACACATAGCTATATACACACAGATACACAGAGATACACACACAGAGATACACACACAGAGATACACATGTAGATATACACACAGATACACAGACAGACACACACACACAGATACACACACAGATACACACACAGCTACACACACACACAGCTACACACACAGATACACACACATTCACAAACACACAAACAAAGATCTCACGTATAGCCTTTAACAGACTGTTGGTCCAAGTGCTGTTAGCGAGCACTTATAAAGACCGGCGCTGTGGCACACGAGGGGTGGGTGGCCAGCACCACGCCCGGCCGCCTTTGTCTCCCCAAGGGCCACGTTTACACATCGCACCAGGTATACTAATTTGAGGCTGAGTCGACCTAGGGGACCGGTTAAGATAATCGTCGCTGGTGTTGGTGGCCGAGGGTTGGAATACACCGAGTTAAACAGTGGGTTTACTCCCCAACACTCCAGTGTGCTGTACTCGTAACGAATTGCCATGTGTTTTTCTTACTTGACAAACCTTACTAATTGGCTGTGTCGGGTGGTGGCGGGTTTAACGGCACATATCTACGCAATCTAACGCAGAAAAAAACCTATGGGTCTACGTGTTAAACTAAGAAAAAGATACTTCCTGAGCCAGTGACGAAAATTCCACATTCCTAAGCCGAGGGCGAGTATATGCATAGGACAACCACTGTTGACTTCTCCACCAAGTGGTCCCCGTTCAACTGGAGGGATGATGTGTTGAGGCAACCTCCAACCAGGAATTGTACTCGCGACCTTCTGATATGGTGAGTCATTAAGTTCAGTTGTTCAAAAGCACTCCAATCTGTTCTAGTCTGCCTCTGTACTTAGTCATATGTTATCCCGGGTCTCCTTCCATAACTGCCCTGGCAAAACACAGTATCTTGTATTCACCAGTCCCGACCCCCTGACAGATGTGTTCAGTTGCTTGGCGAACTTTGTTTTGCTCATATTCATCTTTAGCCTACCTTTGCAGCTTTCTATACGAGGTCAGGCGATAAATTCCCATGGTTAATTTAATGACTGTCATCAGGAAGTGACTATTGCAACCTTTACTGTGTGGTGGTTGCTATGTACGTGACCTGTAATCCAGCGCTGTGAGGGCGAGGGTTGATAGATCACACAAGTTGTGAAACTCCCTTCCTGTAGGCGTCGAGGAGGAGTGATACCCTGACTCACCAAGAGAAGGCTGTACAACAAATGTGGACTCAACCTGTTCCATCCCTATGGGATAGAGTGTTGCCCCCTTCCATGCGTGAGTTTGCTCCGCGTGCTCCGGTTTCTTCCAGCATGTAGACAAATTAATTGGCCGATAACGCCTTAATATGTAGAGGACTGCAGAGCTTTGGGGGGAATTTGGTGGCCGCACATCGCGTGAGTGACCGAACACTATGTGGCACATTGCCAGTTGAAACTATTTTTACTATTGACCCCACAGATGCCGAGGATATAGCGCGTGTTTCTAACACTGCAATTCCTGCAGATGTATATCCAAATAGACCTACCCTTGATTACAACTACTCGTTAGCGGTTCTCCTCAAATCCCACTTGTTTAACTTTCAGTCTATGATAAAAACGTCACTGTTTTAGCCTTTGTGCACTCTTACAGGTTACATTTTAGGGTAAGGATTTCAGTCTCGGGATTTCAGCTTGGGGTTTAGGGGTCAGGCATTTCAGATTCGGGATTTAGTATTCTAGGTTTAGTATTTCGAAGTTGAGGATTGGGGATAAGGATTCAGGGGTTAGGGTTGGGGGTGTTTGGTAAGGGATTTAGGGTTTAGGATTATGAGTTTGTGAGGCATTTGCGTTTGAATGGCAAGACTGTATTTATACTGAGATTTGGTGCATGTTCTGGTGTTGAACTTTATTGCAGTAGACTGCACAGTCTTGATAGACCTCTGTAGGGACTGGCCTGTGCAAAATACGGTCACTGCTTTTTTGTTAAATCACAGACCTAGGAAAGTTTAACACGTAGGCTTTCGCGACCAATATTATTCATAATAAAGGTCTTTGGGTTAGATCGCGTTATTTATAAATGTGTCGTAACCCTCCACCACCCGACACGGCCAATCAGCAAAAAAGTATCACGTTGACCAAAGACAAATAGTTCACTACTTTAGCCCACCGGTGTGTTGAAGAGTGCGGCTTGGAAGCGTATTATTAAATAATACATATTACAATTCCTTATAGGGGAAACACATACTAATTAACGGATTACTAACGTAGCATATAATCACAATAACACACATTACAACTAATTACTAATCTACAATTCATTACTAATCACAACCATTGACTGATTACCAATCGATTATATAATTACAATACCCCCCCCCCCCTCCGCCTCAAATCACTGTACCTGAATGAGTTAAATGATGACGTCACCCTGCTGCTCTATTTAAGACCGGGAGCAAGTGAGGGCTTTACCATTCTGGCAAATTGGCCGATGATGCTGGATGTAATTACCAGCGAAACGTCGTACTCAAACTGTAAATGTTGTGGATTCACTCTTCAACACACCGGTGGTCTAAAGTAGTGAACTATTTGTCTTTTGTCAACGTGACACTTTTTTTGCTGATTGGCCATGTCGGGTGGTGGAGGGTTACGGCACATATATAAATAACGCGATCTAACCCAAAAACCTTTATTATGAGACCTAGGAAAGTCTACGATCGGGATCAAATCAAGATTCTGGGCTATGATTGGATACAAAGTTTTGGTGAGAGTGTTTGCTCCGATGCAATTACAGGAGAAACGCCCCCAATCTGTGGTGGAATTAAATTGGTCCTTAAGGTTGTCTGCGATTTTACTCTTATCCGTGGGGTAGAAATTTACAGATGACCTGTGGCTAATAGGATGAATTTGTCATGGGACTTCCCTTATCCACGCACAAATCGGATAATATGATGCCATTCCCGCAGAGACCCATGCAAAAGGTCGCTCGTAATCGCGGATAATAAGGATAATAGGGCCGGTGGGTAATATGGGTTTTTGCGGACCTCAGCGGTCACCAATAATAGGAGTAATGGATAAGAGGGTTGCAGATAAGAGGAATTGGCATGGCACTGGAGATTACAAAATGCTGTCTTGTCCTAAAAGGTCGACATTGTTAAACGTGAGTTTTAGACATTGAAAACAATTAAATGTCTTTGCACTATTGACAAATTGTTATTGAACAACTGCACGTGCAAGGGATACATTAATGGTTACACAGCCAGTATGAACATTTAAACATCGAGTAAACAAATACATATAACTCCAGAGATCCTAAATTTGTCTTAATCCCAACCACGTTTGTCCAATGATCTAATACTGTACTAGGTTTTCATGCATTGACTTATTGCTCATAGCTGGCACAGAAATACGTTATAATTGAGTGCCAGATTATAGATGCTTGTAGTTAATTACGTGTGTAAACAGTGTGTCGGTACGTGTGATTGTTGTGTATTGTATATGTATGTGAGTGTCGGCGTGTGTATGTGTATTCGTGTATCTGGGTACCTTTGTGTGTGCCTGCAGGCTGGTGTGTGTTTGGGTATCTGTATGTATATCTGTGTATGTTTGTCTGTGTGTGTATGTTTGGGTGCCTGTGTGTATACTTCGTGTTATTGTGTGTGTCGTTGTTTATTGGTTGAATTAGTCGACTACTGTACTCACTTTTCATAGTCGGTGATTCCCTGCTCAATCAAGCAATGGTGGTGAGGAACCCTGAGCCATTGCTCGAAATCCCACGTTCATATGACAGGCGCCATGTCAATTCATGGGACTAACACCGTTGATTAGCATCCGACGTGCTCGATAATATAAGTTCCGCTTTTTGGAATGTGGAGTTGCCACCCCGCACGTTCACTTGTGCAGGGAGACTCTTGACTTGGCATTCAGATACCAAGTGTTTGGTAACGGAACGAGTTCACATTTGTCATCGCCATCAATCGCCATCGTCATCCCTACCTCCGCGATGGTAAAAAAAAAATGAACAACACCCCACGAGGCTGCGTCCACTCCGTTGCAGAGAAGCCTGCGGTAGCTGTTGCCGAGTGGAGCCTGGACACCGCCACTGGAATGTGGAATTTCCACCACCGTTCTCCGAACTCGGAGGTGTTTGGTCGCAGTTCAAAAACGCTTAAGTCCGGGAGCAGGCAGATGGATTTCCCCTTCCGTTTGCAGCCCTGACCTTGAGGGCGAGGCTATCGCCGATGCACTTGCAAGTCGGTACAAAGTGTTGTCAATTTGCCGCAAGCTTCAACATACCTTTGGCACCCGGGCCCATAGCTCAGCCAACACCCTCGCTCTGAACACCTTGCGCGCGCGTGCGTGCGTTCGCACACGCACCCAGGGTTCGGAGTTTAGTTTCTCGAGGCGTTCGTAGACGCGACACGGGCGCCGAGGAGGACGGAGAGCGTCGTGGTGATCTTGGGCTTCGCCGGGTGTTTGTGGACAGGCCCACCGGCAAGTCGCTCGAACACCGACGGAACCTGTGTATGTTGGCTCAAGGAATAACGCTCCGAACGGCTTCACGTTTTTAATTTGTATCTGCTTTGTCTCGTGCTCCTCTTAAGAGTTGTAAACTCATCTGTGTGTCTGGGGGGATCAGCCCAACGCATCGCTCGGACTATCTGGGAATGGTAAGACTAGTTCAGCTTTTTGGAAAAGCGCTATGCATAGATGGACTGGTCCTTGCCATAGGAATGTGGAATTTCGCACCTGCAGGCTTAGGGCTGCCAGTGGAGCTGAGCGCTGTCCCACGCTCACTTGAGCAGGGATATATGCCGACCTCTGACTTTCTAACTCCTGTGTTTAGTCCATGTACTTATTTACTTTATCAATGCTATAGAAACATACAGTACCTTTGGATCGGACTGTTTAACGCGAATAGGTGTGGTCGTTGATCTGTTTAATCCTGTCGGAGCAAGTCGTTTGTTTACACAGAAAACCCGCACTGAATCTCGGGACTTGTGTGAAATAGGGTCCTGCTTGGGATATTTAGCCACTTTTTATGAAGGTGAGGAAACCAGAGACGAATATTCAGATGTCTTATCTAGAGATAGAGACAGTGCAATCCATAGAGATAAGATTGGTAACATTTATACATATAGAAGATCGGTCAAAGGCAATGATGAAGCCCTGTGATCGATTGGTCACGCGTTGGCTGATGACCCTGTAGAGAAGAGCTCTTGGGTGTGCTTTCGCCTACTCCTCCACACTGGCCAGACGTCTTCTCGCAAGAGGTTGGTGGTGGAGTACCCACAATTTACCCCTCCACAGGCAACCTGTCCATTGACTGTGGTGGTTAAATCCACTTACACAGCTGGGTGGACACGAGGGGCAGTGGGGATTTGGGGAGTTTGAGAAACTTGTCCCATTGTTTAAACTGCAGCGAGCCGGCGGACCTCTGGATTGCAAGTCCAGTGCTGCTGACCCTCACAGCACGGCAGCATCCCAGATAGGCCGGCAACAGTGGAGATTATTAGGTCAGCTGATGCTTCCAGCCAGCGGCACACGTGATCAGACCCCTGCAGCTACTGTAGGCACTCGGATGCACTGCGATGTTTAAAATAATATGTTGGATCCAGAATTGTGACAATTCATCGAACCGCTAGAGGTTATTCATAGTAAGCCTAGAAATGAGGTACACATCAACAGTCCTGGGGATAAGTGCTGGAAGGGTTCGTTCAATAGCTGCTGACAAGTATAATATCTGAGAAGGGCGTGCTAGTTGTGTGCCACGCTTGCGAAGAAGAGAAGACCATGAAGACCATGGCTTAAACATCATTGGCATTTGTCTCACCTTTTCGGTCATCTGCGTACGCGAAGGCAATGCGTTTTGTCTCAACCACCACCACTATCACCACCTCCCACCAGCACACCACCATTGCTATCAAACCACCGCCATTGCCAGCACGCACCACCACCACCAAAGATCCCCACTAAAGCTTTAACAAACATTTTGGGCAAGTGCTGTTAGCGAGCGCTTAATGAAGGGTGGCACGGCACACGAAGGGGGTGGGTGGCTCGCACCACGCCCAGCTGCCGTCGACCATCTTTAGCAGCAGCAGCACCACCACCGGCATCTGTCTAACCACAGGCCTCCGTGCTCGCAACACAGGTCCAACTCCTCTGCGAGCTCGGGTACCCTCAGCGAGCCGACCGCCTCGGGCCAAAGCGCCGCGAGGCAAGGGCAGAACAAGCGCTACAGCCTGGGCTTCATCCGCGGGATGCTGCCCCGGGGTCGCAACCCGTCCTCCTCCTCCTCGACCGACATCTCCCCGCAGGGCGGTGGCGGCCCGGGGGATGCGAGGGGAGGAGGCGGGGTCTCCCCGGGACCCTCCACGTCCCCCGGCTTGAACGGGGGGCTCCTGCCGTCGAAGCCATCCGTCATCAGGGTCTACGGGGACCTCATCAGCCGCGGCACGCTCTACAAGGGCGTGCTCACGTTGCCCGACAGCAGCGCCCATCAGCTGGTGCAGGTGGGTGTGTGGGCACAGGGGGCTCGCGAGCCTCCCGCCAGCGTCTCTGTGTCTTTGTCTTGTGTGTCTTTGTCTTGTGTGTGTGGATCCGTGTGTGTGTGTGGGAAGCGGTAGTGTAGTGGTTGGCGTGCTGCGCTACGAACCCGGCGATCCGAGTTCGATTCCCGCTTATGGCCAACACCAGTGACGATTATCTGAACCGGTTTTGGGCCTCCCGGGGGTCGACTCAGCCCTCACATGAGTACCCGGTGCGATGTGTAAACTTTAGCTTTGGGGAGAGAAAGGGAGCTGGGCAAACGTGGTGCTGGCCACCCACCCGCTGTTGTGCTCTGCCGGCCTTTAGAGGTGCTCACTAAGAGTATTTGCCCCCAACAGTTTGTGTAGGTTACACGGGAGATCTTTGCCTTAGTGTCTGTCTTTATTGACGCTTGTGGGGAGCGGCAGTGTGGTGGTTCGCAGACTGTGCCACAACATCGGCGTCTCGCTCACGGCAAACGGTGGCAATTATTAAATAGAATTATAATCGATCCTTGGCCTCCTCTCGGTAGACTTAAGCCTTAAATGAGGACCTGGCGTGGTGTGTCATTAACATCAGCACTGGGGAGGCAAAGTTAGCCGGTGTGGTGCTAACCACACCACCCCCTCGCGTGCCATGCCAGCTTTAATGGGTGCTCTCGGACCGTACTTGCCGCACGAGTCTGTTAAGGCTATACAGGTGGTCGTTGACTTTGTCTTTCCATGCGGGTGCTCTCCTTGCTCTCTCCATAACGTCATGAGATAATGTCTCTTGATATTCAGAAGCTGTTGTGCACTGCTCATAGCCTGTACACAGCCACCATCTTTGCACAGCCATCGAGCTCAAATAATTTTTTGACAAAGCATTTAAGGTCATGTTGGTGTTATATGTGTAAGAGAAATTGGATGCAGTGCTGGGCCAGTTGTGGAAACTCCACATTCCTATGGTGAGAGTTTTTCCATATGAAGACGATTGCTGACTTTCCCACAAAACAGTGCTAGTTTTTCGATTTAAAGCTTTCGTGACTGCAGGGATTCATATTCTTGGTTCTTTCGGTAAAGACACGTAGGAGGGAAATAATAAAGTAATAAAAATAAAACATAATAAAATTCTCACGACGTTTCGGCTACAACGCAAGCAGCCGTCCTCATGTGAAGAAAAACCTGAGGACGGCTGCTTGCGTTGTGGCCGAAACGTCGTGAGTATTTGATTGTTTTATTTGTATTATTTCCCTTCTACGTGACTTTACCGAAAGTGCCAAGAATATAGTGCTAGTTTTATTAAACCTGTAGGGATGATGAGTCAATCTCCCTCACCCCCTCCCCACCGAGATTTATACTTGCAACCTTCCAATTGCGTGTGGCTCACGTTGGGTACTCAAGGTGAGGAGCATCCATTGCCGAATATTAGAGATCTTCAACATCAAAACATGAACATTAATTTATCCAACGTCGGAGGTGTCCACTGGTCCAATGCTCACTTTGCTGGTGACGGATGTGGGTCAACGTGAACGATTAATTACCTGATCGCCGATCCCACTGGAGGACCCTCGGGGTTTCACCTCCACCTCGGGGAAACTCCGGTTGCCCACATTCAAGTGGAATTCGCACGACTTGCGACGAATCCGCACGCGAGTTTTCGATGGTGCAGGAGGCTGGTGGTCGGTGGGCGTGCGATGACGACGACGATGACGACGATGACGCGTCCTCTGGCCCCCCCCCCCCCCCCCCAGGACGCTCTCTCACGATACGGGCTCGACCCGAGCCGGGCGCACGAGTACGTGCTGTGCGACGCCATCGGGCGCCTGGAGGACGCGGAGTGCGCCTGGGTGGAGGATGGGAATGGGTCGGAGGGGACGTCGTCAGAGGTGGGCCTGTGCTGGGAGGTGGCGGTGGTTGCCGTGGATGCGAGGTTGTTGGTGGTGGTAGAGGTGGTGGCGATTATGATTGTGGGGGAGCGATCCGGGTTAGTTTCCCACTCGCAGTCGACACCGGTGACGATAATCTTAAACGGTCCCGGGCATCCCCTAGGTCGACTCAGCCTCACATGGGTTCCTGGTGCGGCGTGTAAACATCGCCACTGGGGAGACAAAGGCGGCCGGGCGTGGTTCTGGCCACCCACCCCCTCGTGTGCCGTGGCGGCTTTCATAGGTGCTCGATAGCAGCACTTGCCCCTACAGTCTGTTCAGGCTACACGGGGGATCTTAGTCTTTGTGTACCAGTGTGGATCAGCAGAGCAGTGCTTCGTGCACTGCGCTTCGAACACGACGACCTGAGGAACATGTCCTCACCCTGGCTGGGAAAGCCGCATCTGAACTTGTCTTGTGCGCTGCGCTGTGAAAGCATCGGTTCTCGCCATACCATCCCCCTCATGGTCAGCCCCAGCCTTATCAGGTCCTTGCTTAACAGCACTTGACCCAGGAGTTTCCTTGTAGGCTATACAGGGGATCCGTTGTCCGTGCCGCGTGTGCAGGAGGCGCGTGTGTGGGTGCCGGAATCCGTGCGCGCCCTGGCCTCAAACGAGCGGCCGCTGGAGCTGCAGGCACTGTGGAGGCCCAGCCCCGGATTCTCGCGCCGATTCCAGATCCGACGGCGCTCGGGCATGGAGCTCAGGGTCACGACAGGGCCGGCAGGTACTCACCACGCGCGGACACTTGAGACAAGGACACGCGTGCACACGGATGCATGGACACTGATGCACGGGCGTGGATGCGGGAACGCGGACACTCGATATACGGGCACGGATACGGTGCGGAGACACCGATGTGGCATGTGCACAGAGACACAGAGGCGCTGACACACGGGCGCAGAAATACGCAGGCAATGACACTCGCGGCCTGACATGAACTTCCTGTAAAAGTACTCTGTCCACGCTGCCGATGGGGAAGAGAGTGTCTCTGTGGGGCAGGGGAAATGCGAGATGGCTGGGGATGGCCCTTGCAGGGGGCTGGCAAGGCGTGAGACGCTGCCGCGGTGGAGGAATGTGCCTCGCAGCACGCTCTGCTGGCTAAGTACACACGGGGACACTCACCGAGGGTGTGTAGAGTTCTACATTTGTGGCGCGCATGAACCCACACGGACAGGTTTTCCCACTTCGTAAATATTAAATAGAAATATGTCCTTCCTCAGCAGAGCAATTGGGCGGTGCTCAGCCCCGTCGTGGATATTCCACATTCCTGTAGCAGGAGCTGGTCTCTCTGTTGTACGATATTTGACTGCTGACAGGGTGGTAGTGATTTTATTGACCTTGAGCTGAGCCACCTACGGCAACCACCGATTTGTCGAACATCAATGAAGATTTTTCGATTTAAAGCTTTCGTGACTGCAGGGATTCATAGTCTTAGTTCTTTCGGTAAAGTCACGTAGAAGGGAAATAATACAAATAAAACAATACAATTCTCACGACATTTCGATTGCAACACAAGCAATCATCATCAGGTGTGAATTTTCTTGCCGTCGTTTTCACACCTGATGATGATTGCTTGTGTTGCAATCGAAACGTCGTGAGAATTTTATTGTTTTTGTATTCTTTTATTATTTCCTTTCTACGTGACTTTATCGAAAGAACCACGAACGTCAATAAAGATTAATGCCTCTGCCATTGGAATGTGGAATGGCCTAGGGTTATCAATGGAGAAAAGCATCTCCCCATTCTCGGTTTCAGCAGAGTGATCCATTGGTCTCAGTGCAGCTAAATCCATTGTTGTACTTTACTTCTACGCTCCCACATCCGTGCTCCCACGCCTTCACGAGCTCGCACTGACCACCACCCGACACAGCCAACTAGTAAGGGTTGTCACGTAAACAGAACGTGGCCAATTCGTCACTAGTACAGCACACCGGTGTGTTGGAGAGCCAAGCCACAACATTTACAATCTGAGTACGACGTTTCGAAAACTGATGAATAAATGAGACCGAAATAATGAGCAACAATACAAATGAGGAGGTAAATTCGTGAGATTCTACGATCAAATCAAAGCCCTGGCAATCGAGACAATTCATAGAATCACTGTGGGGGTGTGGGGGGATATTGCTCCACGCTCACTTTAAACATCGTGATACTGCGTTGACCCAAAGAGAACAGATTATACAGTGTGTGATGTTTCATGGGCAATAGCCTTTAATGCCCTTAATCATAACAGAGAACCACAAAGGGCAGAGAGATGAAGTGAATAATAATAATAATGGGGCCCTGATTTAAATGTAACGTTCATAGTGCGTCAGGATGAACGGCGTTAATTTGTCCTATGAACAGTTACCCGTTCATCGAGCCCCGTGGGCAAAGTAGCACAGCCACAGCTCATGTTGCCTCCGGGTGCGACTTGTCATCCTGCAGAGGTGCCCGTCTTTACCGAGACCACTTCGTCGGACGACACGGACACCGACGCCACCGTCATGCCCGCCGGGGTCGCCCTTCCCGGGCCTGGTGATGGGGGGGCAGTGGTGACCACCCCCGACACCGGATCGACAAGGAACCCAGGCGGCGGAGCAGCTGTCGGACAAACGGGGCCCACGGGGGAGAGAAACCGACTGTGCCACCGATGCAACTCGGCTCTGGCGGACGAGCGGACGGGCAGCTCGCGGTCAACTGCTTTGCAGAACAACGTCGCGCCGGGCGGCGGCGTCACGGCAAAGCGGCGGCAGCTGCCGCGGCAGCAGTGCAACGGAGTGGCAATGGAGGATGAAGTTGACGATGACGACGATTTGCCGGCGGAAATTAATGAGACGAGGTTTCGCTCGGCGGCCGCGCTATGCTTTGAGCCCTGGAGCGAGGATCTGCTGCTGCACAAGATCCTGGAGATGCCGCCCAGCGGTGGAGGAGGCATCGCCGCTGCCGCTGGCGGTGGTGGCGGCGGTGGCGGCGGCGGCGGCGGCGGGGAGAAGGAGGAGGAGGCCGGCAGCTCGTCTCCGCTGGCGCTCGCCCGGCTGCTGTGCCTGTGCGTGCGCCACGCGGCGCTGCGCTTCTCGGCGCCCGAGATGCGCCGGCTGATGTTGAAGATGGCGAGTCGCGTGCAGGCGGCCGCGTGGGTGAGTGGGACGACGTGGACGACGTGTGGACGACGGGTGGACGCATAGAGAGGTGGACAACGAAGATGAATGGATAGGATGGGTGGTTGGGCAGATACAGATGGGCAGATGGATGGCTGAAAATATATCGATGGACATTTCTTTCTTTCAGCTTCTTGTTACTGTATTATTGATAGCTGGATGGCCCTGCAGATAGGCAGGCAGATGGATGAACAGGTAGATGAATTAACAATTTGTATGGCAGACTGATGGACAAGATGAATGGGCAGACAAACAGATCAAGAGAACATGGAAGTCTTAAAGATGGACAAACGGTGAGATGGATCAGCATACCAATGGATGGATGTAGGATGGAAAGAAAGACTCATGGGCAGGAAGATAGTAGACAGTGGACAAGCAGGCATATGAATAAACATTAGACCCAGCCATATGGACAGATAGCAGATGAACGAATAGATGGATAGACAGCTCAATAGCCAGATTATAAGGATGGAAAGACTTGGGACAGATATATGAACAAACAGAGAGGAAGATGGAGAGAGATGGCTGGACAAATTAATGAACATACAAATAGACTGGTGGTGTATGAAAATTTCGACTCGTAGACTAACAGACGGACAGACAGTTACACTAATGAACGGTCGTACGATGTATAAAGGACCTCTGAGCGCACGTACGGCCCCATTCCATCCCCCAAGTTTTAAATCCTGGGTAAACCACCGCAGGTGTGAACACAAAGATGCTCAGAAGTCGCTGGGTGAGTGGGTGACAGACAGTTGAACGGAGAGGCATTAAGAAGACAAAGGCCCTGCGGTGATTCAGGCCCAAAGTGACATCAGAACAACATCGGAATACTCGCACGATTAATATGTAACCCATTTCACACACAGGTTACCTTGAGCAATTACAACAATACGCTTGTATGTATGGGCAGGTGTGGTAGTTTATAACGAGTGTTCACAGGAATGACTCACTGGGGCTATAAACACATGGCACCGCTGCCAGCTCGTTCCTGAATTAGCAGTGTGCTGAGAACGCGGGTGGTGTTTGCGTAACGGCCATTCGGTGTGTGTGTGTGTGTACGTGAACATTCAGTGGGGGGGGGAGCAGGAGTGTTGCATTGCTACTCACCGTTCTATTGTGAGAGCCTTGTATACAAGACGACACCCTTTGCTGTCTCTGCGCGCGTGTGGTGGCAGCTGGCTTGATTCTCTCGTGTGATTCACAATGCTTTTGTTGCCTACAGCATCCGGGTGTCATCATGCTTTTCTGTTATGCATGTTGAACTTCTTTTGCATCGTACGTAGCCAACCGTGCTGTCCATCACACAAATTCCCCTCCACCTTTTGGCGATCTTTCGCTGCGGGTCTCTTTCCGATTCCCCTGTGTGGGTTTCCATCGCATCAGTTTTCATGGAACTTCTGGAACGGTATCCGTCGTGATTCGATGTCTGAGCCACTGCAAGTCTCTCCTCCTTGACGATGAGACTGACTGCCCCCCCCCCCCCCATGTCTCATTCTCTTTCTGACTTCTTCATTGCTATTCTTTGGTTCTTTCGGTGAAGTCACGTAGATAGAAAAAAATAACAATACAAATAAAGTGAATAAAAATAATATAAAATAAAAACAAAACAAAAACCATTTCATGTAGGCTGTAGCCTGGTTCTTAATCAGAATTAGTGTACTGGCAGTCTGTAATGCAGACTGTAGCAATGGTTATTAAGCTGGGTACGTTAACCTCGAGGTTAAGAACCAGGCTTCAGTCTACATTATAGACTGCCAGTACAGTATTCACTTTATTTTTTATTATTTTTCTATCTCCATGACTTTACCGAAAGAACGAAAGAATATGAATTCCTGCAGTCACGAAAGTTTTAAGTCACAATTTCTTAATTGCTACTTTTATTTTCCCCGTCGATTGGTAGGATCTTACACAGGCAACACTGCTCATGTGCGGCATGAGATAATTAATACCCACAATTCATAGTTTCTTACATGCATACATACAAACGTACAAATTGTCAAACACAAACGTACAGATCCCCCAGGTAGACTGAAGGCCAGCATTGATGCACGATGGAGTGGTTTGGCCAGCACCACTAGGCCGCCTTTGTCTCCCCAGTGCTGATGTTCACAGACGATACTCATTTAAGGCTGAGTCTAGCTCGAAGAGGCCCAGGACCACTTCGAGTATAACACTGGCTAATTGTGCGGTTATTTAAACGCAGTCGCCGGGTTCACGGCGCGGGTGCGCTAACCACTGCGCCACCGCTCGACCCAAGCGCACACACAGTACACACACACAGTACACAAGCACACACACAGTACACATAAAGTCGTCGCACAATCGCACGTTTCCATCACAGCCGCTGTGAAGAAGAGCATTGTGAAGCCCCCATGCTGTGTTTACTTTACATTAATGGTCGCCCAGCCGTGGGTGCTATTAAAGCCAGTGTTTGTGGGCACCCGTGATCCTCCCTGCGCCGTTATCTGCCCCAACAGACGCGGCGAGGTGGTAATTTAAAAACCCAACACGATGAGAAGGGCCACCACCTTCACTGACACACCCCTACATATAGCAGACGCGATACGCCTCCTTCACATCGCTGTGTGCCATGCCGGCCTTCATAGGTGCTCTGCCCTCCATAGAAGACCCCCAACAGACTGTGTTAGGCTAGAGGAGACGGACCTTTGTCTCTTTGCAGCACCCTAATGTTACGAAGTAGACTACGGGGCCGTCCATAAATGACGTCACGCACCTGGGGGGGGGGGGGGTCAGACATTTGTGACGATGTGACGAGGGGAGGGGGGTTGAGAAATGTGACGTCACATCAAAATGCGCAACTTTAAATAAATATAGACAACACGTTCTACTTAATTAAATAGACGTTTTAATAAATGTTTTCACCTACAACATCAGAGTGCAGCGCCACATTAAATACGCACTACAATGACAATAGCTTAAAGCGATTTGAAGCATGTTTTATTTTCAAAATGGAAATATGGTTTTGGGGGGGGGAGGGGGCAGAGCTTTGTGACGTCATATTTGAGGGGGGGGGTCTGACTTTTTGTGACGCCGTGTGACGAGGGGGGGGGGGTCAAAAATCGTCCAAAATCGCGTGACGTCATTTATGGACGGCCCCTTACAGGAGAGAGACCCTTGTCTCTTTGCAGCACAGTAATATTACGAAGTAGACTCCTGTGGCCGGAGTGCTAGAACTCGGCAGGACGCTAGTTCATATTCTCGATCAAGGATCGACTTAGCCCATCATCCTCGATGAGCTAATAACCTTGGAACCGCTGTATGGGAAGTCAACATTGTGATGGTGAGAGACTGGGCTGGTTGCTGTCATGGGAATGTGTACAACTGACAGCAGAGCTGCCAATAGAAATGAGCTACACCCAATTGAGCATCATCCAGGCATAATCAACAACCATCATCATACCCCTTATCCCAGCCACTATCATTATCGTAATCATTCACAAAGCAATTTGCTTGGCTTGAGTTTTATTTTGTCACACGGATGATCCCGTTTTAGCCAGCCGCCTGGCTATTTTACAGGAGGAGCCACAGCAACACAAACGTAAATATTGCAGAGAACGAGCGCAGGGTTCTCAAGGGACGTTGCACAACGAACGACCTAGTTGGTTGCACGTGCGAGTAAACTCTATATTTTAGTTTGTCAGTGACTTAAAAACCACCACCATTATCACCACCAGCGCCCGCCATCATATGGAGGTCTGCTGTGGCTTCAGGTCAGGCAGTCTGTGAGCTTCACCCCTGCTTCCCCAGGCAAGAAATCCGTGCAGGCTTCCAGGAGAACAGGTCTGGCCAGGCCTGATGGTGCTTTCCTCCATGTAACTGTGAATTAATCACCTGCTCGCGTCACCTGCAACGGCAAAACCCGAGGCGGTGATCAATGCCGATCTGAACTGGAGAAACGACCACTGCCTAACAACATCGTTGTCGATAGAGACACTGGTCACGGAGTGACTTAACTCTGCCATGTCGTATACAGACTCATTATGCATTGCTGCCGTTGTTGTTGTTGTTGTGAGTTGTTATGGAGAATTATGGATAAAAGCAAATACAAGAGCAGAACTCCACTCTGTATTGCCTGGAGATAGAGAATGGCGTTCTGCTTGTAACTGCACCATAGAGCACTTCTCACACCATCTTGTCAACTCAAAACTCAGCAAGTTCAGGCTTATACTGGTAGGAAGGAAGTTGTAAACTGAGTGTACCAGCCTGCAATAGATGAATGTGTCCGTCCGTCTGTCCCCTTTCAATACTTTAACGAAGTGAAATCTCGTGCTGTTGGGGTGTAAAAATAAAATTGCTCAAAATTCCAATGTTCCTACCAGCCCACCCTGCAGGGACCTGTTTACGTTTACCCTGGTGAGCACTCGAGAGCGAACCCCGTCTCATTTGCAAGAGCGACCCCTGGGTTGACAAAACGGTTCATGGGCATTCAACGGAGGCACGGGGATGGAGGCTGGCGTCGATCCGCACGGTCAGCGCGGCCCGCGACACCACGCGGACCTCGCCAGAGGCTCGCTCACAAGGGCCTGCGACACGCCCGCTGCCGCCTTACTGTGCCTTCTCTGTCTCTCGTTTTAGGACAACACGAAGGATTTCCTTGAAAAGCATCCTGAAAGGTGAGTGGGGAGACGGAGGGACTTGGGGTTGCACCGTTTCTACAAGTGAATGATGGCTACGTGCCTCGCCACTAACAGCCCCTCGCCCCAACAGTCTTATAAAGAGGCGGTGGGGGGGATGGGGAATCTGTGTGGCTGTGCACGTGTGTGCAGCTCTCTGTGGGGAGCAGCAGTATAGCAGTTCGTGCGCTGCGCTATGAACCGAGTTTGAATCGCGTTCACGGCCAACACCGGTGACGATTATCTGAATCGGTCATTGGCCTCCCCTAGGTCGACTCAGCCTGAAATGAACACCTGGTGCGGTGTGTAAACATCATCCACTGGGGAGACAAAGGCGGCCGGTTGTGGAGCTGGCCACCCACCCCCTCGTGCGCTGTGACGGCCTTCATAGGGTGCTCGCTAACAGCAGTATGTTCAGGCTATACGGGGGTGGGATCTTCGTCTTTATTTTTCAGCTCTCTGGAGAGCCAGGTGAGCGCCAGCGAGGTGCCGGGCCTCGTGTGGGCCCTGCAGCCCGTCGCCCACTGGCTCGCCAACGCGCTGCACCTGCTGGCCTTCCTGCGCAACCCTGGGCCGGGGCTCGCGCGGGGCAACGCGCGAGCCCACGGAGACGCAGGTGAGCCGAGCGGCGCTCGAGCAACCGAGCGCAACGCCGCCCACCCGGACGTAACATCAGTGATGCGGCGAATCACCGCCACGGGCAAACGTGCGTGGCGACTCGCCCCGAGGCGCCTCGGATTTGGGGTCGTGATTTAATCGGGTCGCGTGTGCCTTGTCTGCTACGACTTCCAAAATGACAATAGTAAAAAGTATCATTTGATTTTGTAAGGCGCGTTTCAGCCGTAGATCCAAATGCGTTCACGCGTTTGCGCTGTCGGTCCATCCATCACGGGGGCGTGCATGAATCTCGCGTATAGATGGTCCAATGTGTATTGAGCAAACTTACCAGTAAACATGAAACATTGGGCCAACGTTGGTTCAACGGTTGCAACCACATGCCGATGTTGACCCAACGTTGCATGTTTACAGGGGTCGCAGTAGAAGGTTTTTGGCTTAGTTACCTATCCTATTGAAAACCGGCCACATAGATCAAAACCTGGAGACGTAATCCAGCGCAACAAGGACAAGTTCTGTTCTTGTACATGTATATTGCTTGTGCGCACACATACACGCGCATGTACGCGAGTGCGTTTTTGCCCTGACAGCTACCCATCAGCTTCTCTGTTTGCTAGTTCAATGCTAAGCGTTACACAAGCCATGTGTATGCACGATTTTCCTGGTCTAGTTTACCGTCTCCTTTTTATCTCGCTTTTTTTCGTTTCGCACAAAACACACGGCAGGCGTGCAGGCACGCATGGAAACGCGCAGGAGTGCACACGCGCGTAGGCACGCGAATACACGCACACATAGGCATGCTTACGCATGTGCAGGCAGCACGCAAAATTGTCATTATTATTATCATCATCATCGTCGTCGGCCTAAAACCACAGAGAGTGATTAAAACAAAACAAGACGTCAAAACCATAACAACGAGGCAATGAAACCGAGATGAGGCTTCTTCAGGAATTCCTGTTTCCTCCCACGTGCAAAAACGTTCAGTAATTAACCAGCCCAGCATCACAATTTAGGAGCCTCCTGGAAAAAAAAACAGTGTCTTGAGGCTCAGTAAAGGTTTCCTGGATAAATTAGGGAGGTTTTTTTATTATTATGATAATAATAACTAAGCCCACGGCACCACGATTAGACTCCTGGACCCACTGTGGGAAGGCCGTGAGTTCTAATTGCAGTAAGGCGTTGATTCAGCCATTGCTGCATTTGCTTGACCCGCACTTCAGATGGAGATACAGGCCCCTGCGATGTTAATTACTCTCGCATCTCCGATTAGCACGGTAGGCTATGTACGGTGCGACAGAAGTTCTACGTACATTAATGCAAAATAAGAAATATATAATTATGCACATATTATCAGAGCATGTGTGTGTGCATGTTTTGCCACAAGTACGTGTGGTTAATGCAAACTTTATGCCTTCCAAAAGGTATTTATGCGGTGTTTAAACATTTTAACAACTGTTTTATTGTCCGAAAGGGTAAAACCTATTCTTATTTTTCATCATTTTTGATACTGGCAAAAAAGGTCCCATAGACACAATAAGGAAGTTCCACCCTTGGCTTGGGCATGCCCCTTACTTCGATTGTTACAGATTATTACAGACATCCCAGAGGGATTGCAGTCTGTTTAGCAATGAAACAAAGTCATGAATTTCGATTTAAAGCTTTCGTGACTGCAATGATTCATCTTCTTTGGTTCTTTCGGTAAAGTCACGTAGAATGATAATAAAATAATAAATTGATAAAATAAAATAACACAATAATATTCTCACGACGTTTCGGCCACAACACAAGCGGCCTTCATAAGCGGCCTTCATGAAGGCCGCTTGTGTTGTGGCCGAAACGTCGAGAGAATATTATTGTGTTATTTTATTTTATCAATTTATTATTTTATTATCATTCTACGTGACTTTACCGAAAGAACCAAAGAAGAAAAAGTAATAAATGCCCTACCTATTGTATATTGGATCGACCACAGACCTTCACAACTATGTTGTCAGATTTGCGGTGATGGTCGAGCCATGCTTTGTTTCCAGGACCGGTCCTGGGCCGTTCCAGGATCTCTGATCTGCATTCCCAAACTTCATGAGCCGCAAGAAAGCAACTTCAAATCACAAGTTGCTTTCGCAAGGCATACGTTATGCTTCGGGTAATTTAGGCAATCCAAAGCGAATATTTATTTGTCATGAAAAAAATGTGGCCCCAAAGTTTGGGTTGGACAAGAGACTTAAACTTTTTAAAATAGATATTTATTTTACCAGGTTAGGCCCCCTGAGCTATATAGCTCTTTTTCAGAAGCGACCTGGCCACAAATGATAGCTCAGCACAGTGGCTTATCACGTGCAAATTTCGAGCAGCCAAATACTCGCAACCCATGTTTCTAAATGTGGAGGGAAAAGCCTCAGGACCCGGAGAAATATCCACGCCACCAAGGGAAGAACATTCAGACTCAAAATATACAGGCGTCGGGGTCAGTATCGAAGCCACAACCTCCTGCATACCAAGCGAGGTAGTTAACATCTTGCCACGATTGATAGCACAATCCAATATTTGAGTTGACCTCTTGGCGTCACATCTCGTTCCAAGGGCTGCCCAGGTGAAAGCGCAACCGTTCCCTTACGGAAGGGAGCTCTTGAGCTCACATCCGCAGACCGCTTGGAGCCAAATCGTCTTGCCGGGCCCGCCGTGAGAATGCGGGCTAAGGCCGGTGAGCCTGGTTCACGAACCGAGCCAGCGTGCTTTCCCGGCGGTCATGGAAAGGCTGTAAAGAGATTTGGTTCTAATCGGGTTCTGATCCCGAAAGCAAAGCAGCAGTAAGCGAGACGAGACTCCGTCTCGTTCTCGCACGTGTCTTGAATGCCTGCGCACAGACGATGAAACGCAGAACGTGGAGGCAATGGAGGAGGCGGCGTCTGTCCTGGAAGAGGTGGTGCTCTACACCTTCCAGCAGTACGCCTTCTACATATGCAAGGTCAGCTAATTGTGTGCCCGTCCGTGCGTGCGTGCGTGCGTGCATACAAGGGTGTGCGTGTGACTGATGGGGAACAGTGGTGTATCGAACCCAGTCGCCTGAGTTCTATTGCCAGCCACAGCTAATATTCGAAGTGTATATCTGAACCGATTTTGGGCTCCCCTAGGTCGACTAAACGTTAAATAAGTCATATTCTTAGCTCTTTCGGTAAAGTCACGTTGAAGGGAAACAATGTGACTTTACCGAAAGAGCTAAGAAGAGCTAAGAATATGACTTACTGCAGTCACGAAAGCTTTAAATCAAAAGTTAAATAAGTCCTTGGAGTGTTGTGTAACATCAATGCTGGGGAGACGAAGGCGACTGGGTATAGTAATGGCTGCACCACTGTGGTAGCGTCAATAGGTGCTCGCAAACAGCGCTTGCTCCAACAGCCTCTGAAGGCTACATGGGGCATGTTTATCTTCCAATCACATTGCGTGCTGATGGCCTTATTAACCACTCACTCTTCGTACATTACATACGCTGGGATGATTACTGGACAAAAGAGCCCAATAGCAAAGTGTAATTTCAATGAGATAGGATTGATGCTAAGTTTAGCCCAGGTGCATACCTCTCCAAGATGTGCTGATGTGCTTGTTAAGAGTGGGTGCCCTTGGGAAGTCTGGTCTATTTGTGTGTGTGTGTGAGGAACTCCTTGTGCCAGGATGACTGGATCCCATCGCAGCAGCCTTGCCAACAGAGGCAGTAAATGTGTGTGTCACGTGTTTTTGTTTTGCGTTGCATTTTCTAATCGAGTGGGGATTGATTGGGAATACGGGTGGGGACAATGATGGGCAGATGGGGGGGGTGGGGGGGGCGGCTGGGTGGGGGGTGGGGACATTAATGCCACAGAGGTTATTCGTCTTTAGTCTGAGAGAGGCTGGGTTTACTGCGTGATAAGATCCAGCAGGTAATGCTCGTGATGGATATGATGATGATGATGATCATGTTCATGATGATGGTGTTGATAATAGTCAGGATGATAATTGTGATATTTCAAGATTACTTCACTGAACCATACGAGAACTAAAGAGGACCGGGGCATGGTTTAATTTGCAAGAGTCGCCTGGGTCACCAACATGACAAAAGCAAAAGAAATACATTATAGCAATGAAGCAAATAGAAATCGGAGCAAAAACAACGGTGTCGAAAATATTGTGGTGATGATAATGGTGGTGATGGTGGTCATTATATTGTGTTGTTGGTGATTGGAATATAATAATGATGGTGATGATGGTATTCTCGATGAGATGACTAATTATGGACCAATGATGATTTGCAATGATGATGATGACAAGGCTCACGATAATAGTGCCGACCTGATGGCGTTAATGGTATTTATGAAAGTCACTATGGTAATAATAGTGGTCATGTTGATGGTAACCAATGTCATTAGGGTGGTGACGCTTGTAAAAAAAAAATCCTCCTCCAGTTGTAATGAAATAACATTCTTCACTTCACTCAAAGGGCACACACACACACAATCACAGACGAGCACGCGCATCTGGGTGAAGGTTAACCGTAGGCTGCTCTGCCCTGGAGCACATTTTCTGCGCGAGAGGCAGCGAGCTGAGCCGTAATGGTATTCCGTTCACAGAGACACGCACAATAATGACATCAGCCCGCCACGTCAGATTCAAATGCTGCGGCCTCCTTGGCAACGGTTGCCGCGGAGAGAGAGGAATGCAGCGAGTCGCTAAGGGGGAGGCCCTTCAAATTCCACGCCGTGGATTTAGAAATGGGATAAATAAATTATAAGTAACAAAAAAACTATCGCACGGAAAACAAAAGAAGACTTGGTGTCCACCAGGTTTGAATGAGTTTTGGGGGACCGAGTGCTCTTTTCCGTTGACGGTTCTGAGATAGATATTGTAATTCCACATTAATATGGCAAGGAGCAGTCGGCCCCGTAGTGCAACCGCTGTTGACTACTCCTGCACCAAGTAGTGAAGGCTCCATCAATTTACTGACCCCAGAGATGATGATGGTTGATGATGGGTAGTGATGATGATGATGGAACTGAGTTCACTGTGGCTGCGATTCGTACTCCTGGGCTATCATATTCCATAGTGACTGATTTTTCTACATCAGATTTAACACGTACGCTTTCGCGACCAATATCATCCATAATATAGGGGTTTTTTTGGGTTAGATCGTGTAACTATAAACACCGGTGTGCTGTACTAGTAACGAATTGGCGTGCTGTTTACGTGACAAACCTTACTAATTAGCTGTCGGGTGGTGGCGGGTTTAACGACACATTTATATTTATGCGATCTAACTCAAAAAACCTATATCCCCATTGCTACCAATGGAGCTGGCTCCACCACGATTTTACAAACAATATGACGAGCAGTCATAAATATGAGAATGATACCCATTATGTTGTCCAATACAGCGTATATGTATACTGCCAACTTGGTAGCAGGCTAATAAGCGAGCTTTTTATTTGTTCCAACATCGCACTTCATGTTAGGCAGCTTGCTTGGGTCACGAACGATAGGGATTGTATATTTGCGTGTGTCGCATGAGACTTAAGGCAAAAACTTTATGCTGAGCGCGCCCTTACCCCTGCCCACTATCAGGTTCATTCAAGGGAGTTGTACAGGCTGCTCTCGTTAAGCGCTTTATCATTTCGATCTCAGAATATCACGTGATGGGGCTTGGGCTATGAGGTGGCGAGGAAATGGAGCTTTGAGTTGTACCTCTCCTCATATGCATGGCGGATTTTATCTTTCCAGCTATTCCAGTCTTCTGCCACATTCCAATTGGCCGTGCATTCCAAAATGGAACCCTCCTGAAAAAGAGTCTTGAGACTCGGTGAGGTTTATCTGGGTTAAGGGAATTAATATCATAAACTCTGTTTATGCGGCAGGCTGAGGTGCTCGGTGTTAATTCAGTGAAAGGCTGGAGATGACTCTACTGTGACTCACCATGGTAAAGAGCTCCCGGTTTAAGGGCCCTGATTTAATTGCAGGTTAAACATTGATGAGAATATGACATTCATTTGTGAAATGAAACGAGCCTGCTTATTGTGTAGCCGGAATGGCTTTTTGCCAATGATCAGTGGACTGAATAAATTGCCGGTTTAAAAAAAAAACACATCGAATGAGCAAAACAGAGACCCCGAGGCTGAATCACCACTCCCCCGGCAATGCGGTGAATTGTCACGATTCAGAGTTCTAAAGGATCAATGATTTGTGAAGCACAGTCGTAAATGTAGCAAAAGCCTCGGGCGGTGGCATGGGTCACATCAACACATTACACACAACATGTTATCATCAGCCATGATCTATCCACTGCTGTAAGAAGGCCGCCCCCCAAGCCCTCTCGCCATCCTTCGCAGTCTTGTGACGGAAGAGTCCACCTAGCACATGCACGAGAGATTATTTCATCTCCACGGGGGGGGAGGAGTGGAGATCCTCTCTGGCGCGTTTTCGCTTTTGTTTGCCACTCAATTGTTAATCTCGCCCACCGGCCATCCATGTGTCCTGCCCAAGTCAAACGTCACTTGATAGTCAACGCTGTATTTTGTATTTTGACATCTGACAAGCATGTGTCTTCTCTGATCTATGTGCATATTCCTCTTTACGTCTCTCAATGGCATCATTTGCATCGGCCTCTCTCCCTGGTTTTCTGCAATAAAATGTTTGCACATTTTTTGGAACATTTTATTTTTGTTAGTTTCTATTTAGTTTTCTTTGTCAGTGCCTCTATATCCGATCCACGAGGTTTTGTCATTTGCAATGATTGCAACTGTTTACTTCAGATATGTATGTACGTTTAACTTCTTTCATACCGTACGTAGCTGTGGCAAAGCTTTGCCTTTTCGAAAGCATTCCAACCCATTAATCTTCCTCTCTTTCAACGTCGTCATCTTCCCACCTTCACCGGCTGCCTAGGTAATGCACATCCTGCCGTGGTTCACAAAGCCGTGTCTCTCTGACAGACATCCCTGGTTGCTTCGGGAACTTGTACATGACTTTTGATTACATTTGTTCATCCCCTGTTGGACGTTTCAATGATTGTAACTGTCGAGTCGGCCACTCTCTCTGCACTCCCCTGTGCCCTGAAGAAGGGACATTACCCGAACCATCACAGTCCACTAGAACTCTCTGTTCTAAGCCAGCACTGATAACACACGAGTGTTTTCCGAGCTGCGACTATGGCAGTCACAGTATATATATATTTTTTTAAAAATTAGGTTTTTCAAACCGGAGTCATCGTCCAGGGATGGGCAGCCAAGTGGCTTCAATGATTAACCCCAGTGTGGTACGTGCAATGCACTAGGGCGGGAATTAAATTTGGGATTGGTTTAATATGGTCCAGTGCTTTCGGTGTTAAAAAACAAATCCCGCAGGAAGTTTGAAGTTGTCCTTACCTAGGTGGGGAAATGAAAACAAACCCCTCTATACGGAGCCGATGCTTTGAAGTTAAACGAGGCAAGGAGAACTGGGTTGGTTGCTCCTGTAATTGAGTCAGAGTTGTAAACTGCAAAGTGTTTGGTGGTCATTTACATCCGCAAAGACAAAGCTTCCCCCTGTAGCTTTAACAGACTGTTGGGGCAAGTGATGGTATTGAACGCCTCTATGAAAGCTGGCACGGTACACGATGGGGGGTGGGTGGTCAGCATCACGCCCGGCCACCTTTGTCTCCCCAGTGGCGATGTTTACACACCGCATTAGGTGCTCATTTGAGGCTGAGTCGACCTTGGGGAGGCCCAGGACCGGTTCAGATAATCGTCACTGGTGTTGGCCGTGAGCGGGAATCGAACCCGGGTCGCCGGGTTCATAGCGCAGCGCGCTAACCGCTACACCACGCCTCCCCACAATGCAGCTACACAACAACAACCACCAATCGCCACTAAGTGGCGGTGACGTCACCACGACGCTTGTGCCAGGCCATGTGCACCTTGAGGCCACGTGAAATGTCGAACGCCTGCTGACAGGAGGTCACGGAGCAGACCCAGGTGCCACGGGTCGACTGACTAAGATGACTGGCTGATGCACCACCTGTGCCCCCTACTGTGCCAACCTGCTGTGCTTTAGTCACCCGGCGCTCCGCTCGTTGTTGTGAGCGTCGCTCCTCCGCCCTCCGTTGTTGTTGGAGGGCGACTGCCTCCAACTTCCCAATAGCGTCCTTCACGAGCCTCCTCCACAGAGGCCGATCTTGACACCGCTGGTACCAGTCATCGGCAAGTCCACTCAGCTCCACGTCCTCCTGTACCACATCACTCCATCTCCTCTCTAGCCCGTGCCGCGCCCGTTTAGCCCCCTCAATCCGGCCGAACAAAAGCTGTTTCGGCATGCGGTGGCTGGGCATGCGGGCTACATGACCCAGCCATCGCAGCCTTGCCTGCCGGAGGAGCTCACCGATGGGACCCTGCCCAGATCTTTCAAGGATTTTTGAGCTCCTCACACAATCCAGCGTGGTTAAACCCAGGATGGATCGTAGGCAGGCCAGCCTAAATGTTTCTAACCGGCGAAGATGTTTTATTCGGGGGGTCCACACACCTACACAAAGACAAAGATCCCCATATAGCCTTAACAGACTGTAGGGGCAAGTGCTGTTAGCGAGCACCTATGAAGGCCGGAACGGTACACGAGGGGGTGGGTGGCCTGCACCACGCCCGACCGCCTTTGTCTCCCTAGTGGCAATGTTTACACACCGCACCAGGTACTCATTTGAGGCTGAGTCGACCTAGGGGAGGCCCGGGACCGGTTCGAATAATCGTCACCGGTGTTGGCCGTGAGCGGGAATCGAACCCGGGTCGCCAGGTTCATAGCGCAGCGCGCTAACCGCTACACACCTACACACACAGACACACACACAGACACACACACACGTACACACACACGTACACACACACAGAAACACACACACGTACAAACACAGAAACACACGCCATCTGCTGGCTGTGCTTACCTGCAGCAGTATTTGCAGGCTTTCAAGGCGAACACTTTGTTCGTCTGTGCGAACACAGTACAGGTGTTAGAACTCGTACGTACGAGTGGTCAACACATTTTTCAAATCTGCGAGGCATGTAAGGGTGTATCGATTCAAATAAATACGTATTTTTATGATGGATGTGTCGCATTGTGCGCGTACCAACCGGTTATTCCCGATTCGTCGTGTTTTGTGGAGGGCTTGAGGCGGTAGCCGATGGATCAAAAAATGGCCTTGCTGTGATGCCATCTTGTGGCCACTCCGCAGCCCAGCGGGTTTGGGAGTTTCAAAGATCTCTCCGTGATCCACTAACCCTTGCTTCGCAAGCGATTGATCGCAGGCGAGTGTCACCACGACGCAGGAGTAACCCCGAGTTGAATTAGGATGGATCTTGTGAATGATTCACGTCAACTTTTTGACTGAACCTCGCACATTTGAACGTGGACCATAATACCATATAGCGACCAAAGATAGAGTGTAGAGACTCATTTTTCTTAGACCAGCGGTTTTCAAACCCATTGGGGCATGACCCCACATGGGCACGCAAGAGCCTTAAGGTGGGCGCAGGCTGCAGAATGGTTACGGTGGTGGATACATTGCGTGCGTGGGGAACATCATCGCCACGTTTCAGTGACAAAACACACAACTGCTATACTAAACTAATATTAAACTTGTATTTAAAGCTTTCGTGACTGCAGGGATTCATATTCTTGGTTATTTCGGTAAAGTCACGTAGAAGGGAAACAATAAAATAATAAAAATATAAAACAATATTGTTTTATATTTTTATAAAATAATATATTAAACAATATTGTTTTATATTCTTTATTAAAAATATTAAACAATATTGTTTTATATTTCTATAATATTTTTTATTAAATAATATATAAAACAATATTGTTTTATACTTGTATTTTATTGTTTCCCTTCTACGTGACTTTACCGAAAGAACCAAGAATATAATATTAAACTTTTTTATTTCACCAGGTAAAGCCCATTGAGCTATATATAGCAATCTGAGCCAGCGGAGTCAGGTCATCACATGGTATTCCGTGATGAGGAATATCACGGACTATCACGAGACCATTTTCTCACTAAAGAGGCTGAAATTCTGCCCTCACAGATACTCTACCAGGTCCTGCCAGAGCTGCTGGACGGCACGTGCGAGGGCCAGGAGGGGCAGGCCGCAGGGCCCCGGGAGGGTCCGCCCAAGGTGGCGGCTGTGCTGGCCGTGTTCCAGGTGACCTCCGACCTCCTGGCGTGGCAAGGCGTCGAAGCGAAACTGTCGGCGCAGCTGGCCGGGTACCTGCTGCGCTTCTCGCACGCGCTCATCTTCAACTCGCTCATGGAGAGAGGTGCGAATCATAGGCTCTATATTTTTTGTTCCCTGATTGTGTTCTAATCTCTGCTGTGCCATCACGATCCGGTGGCTGTTGCTGTCAGCGTGTAACATTTTGTTGCTGGGTTAAAGGCCATTTCCTCCCTCGGCTTCTCTTCCCTTCTCTCGGCCCCCACTCCATAGTTTTGTCATTACTCCTGAGCTGTTCTCATGACATGTCCCTGCCTATTGCCACTCGAGATTGAAAAACTAATTTCTTAAAAAAGCAGTTCTAAAGAAATTAGTTTTCAACCTATATTCAAAAGTGCATCGTTCCAGTGGCTTCCTAATATCGGAAGGAAGAGCGTTCCAGACAGCCGCATAGGCACATTTGAAAGGGCACGATGGCGTGACCATCCTTGTACGATGGCCAGCGAAAAGCCACCACTGCCAGGATGACCAGAGCTCGCATGATGGTTTTATGCTCCTGGACGAGATTAGGAAGGTGTCGTGGTTAATTTGTGGGCGAGCACTTTGCGTGCGATCAGCGCCGCCTTATAACGCAATTCGTTCGGCAACCACACGCAGGCCTGGAGAGCGGCTTCCGTCCCGACGTGCGGTTCTACGCCAGCGTGAGCATCCTCCTCACGTGGTGCACGGAGACACAGCTGGGGCAGGAGACCCACGCCATCCTCGCACCGGCACTCGCAGCATCGCGCCTGCTTGCAAACCCGCCCGCTAAGCTCGCCAAGGTGAGTCGTGAATGGGCCAGCCTAGCCGGCAGTGGTGAGTGGGCCCTACTTATCCGTCTGTCTCTGTGTCTACTGCACCCCCGGTACGGTGGGAAAGAGGTTCGACATACATACTTACAGTCGGTCGGGCCTGTCTGTTGATCCGTCTGTCTAGCTGGCTGGTTGTAAGTCTGCCCATCTCTTCTGGAGGTCTGTCTGTTTGGTCAGCAGTTGTCTATTTTGGCTTGTATGTTTGTCTGCTGTCTGTGTCTGCTTGTCTTGCTGTCTAGTTCTCTAGCGGTTTGGTTGTTTGTCCATCCATGTGATGATGATAATAATACAATTTAGAGATTAAAACAGATCTGGGTGCCGTCCCATATGTTCGTAGCTCCCAGTCAGCGGTAGAAATTGCACATTCCCTTGTCAGGGGAAATTCTCTCCAAAGCACAACTGCTATTCGTGCTGGAGGGTTGATAATGACAGGCCTCGTTGCGTTTTTAATGCTATTATAACACAAATGAAGATGCATAAATACATTACGAGCTGTAAATAGGCAAAATTTGGCCTGAACGGGAACAATGGGGTTTTGTTGAGGGGCAGTGGCACTCCTCATTTCGCCCGGTATTTCCGTGGGCAACCTGCACACCCTTCGCCGTCGTAAAACAAAAACAATCAAACGAGCCCCGTCCCTTCGCGCCGCGTCTGCTCTGCGCGCGTGTCTCTCGTCTGCCCGCGCGATCGCTCCAGTGCTCGTGGTCATCCCTACGCAAGGCGTTCCAGGCGCTCAGCCCCGCGCAGCTGCACACCGTTCTGCGCCGGTACAGCGGCGGCCCCGCCTGGGAGGCCCCGCCGGGGTGGCAGCCGGACGCGCACGAGCGGGAAGAGGCGCTCGCCAGCGGTGAGTCCACGCGGATGGCGCAGGGTGGGCCCACCGCCTTCCCCGTCTCGCCGACACTCGCGACCTCCCACGGCACACCCCCCCCCCCATCCCCTCCGCCCGTCCAGGTGAGCCAAATGAAAGTACGTGCAGTCGCGTCCAGTCGTACATCTTTATTTAGTCCAGGTGAGAGCCCATTGAGGTGAATTGCTTTTTAAAGAGACCTGTGTCACAAAACCAGTGTATGTGTGTGCATGGCCCATTTGTCTTCCTATCGCTGGATGAGGACCTCTCCCCACTCACTGCCTTTGTGGATCGTGTTGAGGGTTATTTGACCATACATCACCATGCTGGTTGGTGCGAGTGACGAACAGGTCACCTGAAGAGATTTCAGCAGTAGTACAGTCATATCTCCTTCCATGGACTATTCGGGTGAATCTACTACCCTGTGGGTTCCAATTAGATTTTTAATCCCATGACATGACACCGATAGCACATTCGGGGTAACATTGATGAAAATCGATGTTTAAAAATCCTGTTGTAATTGAAGACGATCAGGGAGGCAAAAGCTCCCAATGCCCAAAATACTGACGAATCTTGTGACGAAAAAACGGATACGATGGGATCTGCAACCTATCATCTACCACCCAAAACACACTGACCTCTCCAACTACCACCGACTGCTCCCACCACACTGTTCCGCGCCTACGTCGTAACACTATCCCTGTTGCCTCACCCGCGATCCCTCCCCAGAAATCCTCGTGGGCTTCGATGATCAGCCCATGATCTCGCCGCCATCCGAGGACACCCACACAACACTAAGGGACCTGGACACCGCTCCCGAGCCGGCCTTCCAGAGAATCCTGGGGCAGGTGCAGCATTTCCTGCGTCGCCTGCAGTGTGTGATGTCACTTCCTGTCGGCGAGGCCCAGGAGGAGGCGCCTCGGTTGGAGCAGAAGCGGAAGGGGACGTTTCGAATCTGCCGTGCCGATGATGTGAGTATTCAAACGATTTTCACGCTGATGTTTTTTTAAATGGTTATAATGCGTTCGCTGTTCTTTGCGACTGCAGTAATTGACCCAATTTGGCAAATTGGGATCAGATCTGGACACCGGTAAGCGAGTGAGTGAGATGGCATTAACAACGACCCACGGCGCTCTTCGCAGGCCACGGCACAGCCCAGGCGCCCATCTGCGATCGGGCAGGAGATCAGGAAGTCGTGGAGTCACAGTGGAACGCAAGACCTGTCCAAGCAGCAGCATGTTTCCCTGCGGAGACCCACGGAGAGTTTCGGACGCTACCCGAGTTTCCGCCGCTCGTCCCGGCCGCTTGTCGTCAAACACGACGACTCGCGGTCTAAACCCGGGCGGCCAGAAATTTCGGGTGATGGTGACGGTGGCAATGGCGCTGGCGGCGGTGATGGTGCCGGGACCAGTCACTCGGAGGACTCCTCGCTCTGCGGTCAGCCAGGCCAATTGCTGCGCTTGCCCCAGCAAGATCAAAGGTTGCCAGAGGCCTCGGCACAGGAGGAAGTGAGGATGGGTCGCAGACGGACGGCGCTGCCAGCAGATGGCGCGGAGGGTCAAGCCAGCATGAAAGGTTTGTGATTCGCACGGACATTGTTATTTTGCTGCTTTGTTTGGATGACGCGGTGACGCATATCTGCGACTCTGCATTCACGGCTGTGATGGTAATTGTCTCATTTCAGGTCGGACAAATGGTGTTCATTCTGTACGAAAAGTACCCCCTACTGTACAACGAATATCTCCGGCTCATCGAAAGCTCATGGAGGTATTAATGGTGGTGTGTGTGATGATGATATTGGAGGTGTGGTGATGTTGTTGGCAGTGATAAATGAGGCGTGATGATGATGATGTATGTAATGATGATGACAATGGAGGTGTGATGATGGTATATGTGACGATGATAATGAAATTGTGAGGGCGTCAGTGATGGTGATAATGGCGGAACGATGACATGCGTTCCAACTCGACCACACCTTTTTACCTTATACCAGCTAGCAAAGCTAATCGTACCACGTCATGAAATGTTTTTAATCAAATAAAATGTTTTGACTAAATTTTTGTTTTGCATTTCGGTAGTCCGTACAATGTTCAAAATTGTCAGGCTGCCGCTTAAATCGATAGGGTTGGCAGGTATGTGACGATGGTCCAGGTATAATAATAATGATAATAACATTGATTTATAAAAAATAATAAAAATGTAATCACAGGCCTATAACCACCGCAACTGACTCCAAGAGAAAGCAGCAAGCAACATAGGACACTCGTGATACTATTGCAAACAAGGAAAATGCTTTCCTTGAATTGAGCGAGATATATGAGAAGTTACTTGGGCAAAAGCAATGAAGGCAAGGATTTCCAACGTCGAGCGGTGCAAAGAAACGAGTCGGAAGGGAGAAGTGTTTTTGTTTAGCAGTTTTAGATGGAAACAGTGGAGGTGAGAGGGACTGTGGCTTTCTCTGTGCATGCCCCTCTCTTTCTCTCTGGGACCCACTCATCCTGAACCCTTTCGCCTGCAGAGTGACGATGACGGAGACCTGGTTTAAATGTTTGTGAACAAGGAGTCGCATTGGAACACGTCTTGGAGCCGCTAACAAAGCCGTCTGCAACGCCATCGCCATCACGAGTGCCACCAGCAGCATCAACTCCACCATCAATTCCACCACTATTACCACCACCACGACCAGCAGCACCAACATTGCCACCATCCGAAGCATCCACACCACCATTATCTCCACTCTGACCACCGCGACCACACCACCAACACTTCCAGCTTCAACACTACCACCGCTGCCAATAACGCCACCAGTAGCATTAACCCCAAACACCATCACTGCCATTATTACCAGCAGAGTAAACACTGATACCAGCATCACTATTAGAAATATCCTAACCACTATCACCTCCACCCTGACCTCGAATGTGACCATACCTACCAGCACAATCAGCTCCACTCATCAACAGCAGTAGCGTTGTACTTCAGCACTAGGGTTATACGTGTATAACCTCTAGGCACGTAACCGTTTATTGACTAAAATAGTTTTACACTCGTCAAATTACGCATGCAAAATTCAGTTATTTTTTTGTGAAGATGTAAATAAAAACCGTTGGACTATTGGAAGGAGACCGAACAACGGAGAGAATAAAAACGAGGCTAAACCTTATACTTGTGAAGCAATTTGCGAAGATTCAGAGAATCGCGGGCCTAGTAACCCACCACCACTACGGTCACCACCACCACCACAGAAATCACCATCACGTTCCTCATAATGATCACCATCGCACACAACGAAAACAAAGATCTCCTGTGTAACCTACACAGACTGCTGAGGCAAGTGCTGTTAGCACTTATAAAGGCCAAGACGGAGCACAAGGAGGGGGGCGTGGCAAGCATCCGCGCCCGGCTGCCTTTGTCTCCCCAGTGCTCGTCTTTACACACTTCACCAGGTACTTAATCTAAGGCTGAGTGTACCTAGGTGAGGCCCAAAACTGCTTTAAATATATTGAGATGTTAGCCGTAAATAGGAAATCCAACTCGGGTCACCGGATTCCTCGTGGAGTGTGTTAACCACTATGGGACCGCCCATAAATGACGTCACGCACCGGGGGGAGGGGGATGAGACATTTATGACGATGTGTGACGAGGGGGGAGAAGGGGGGGTTTGAGAAATGTGACGTCACATCAAAAAGCGCAACTTTATATAAACAATATAATTGTTATAACAACACTAATTTTGATCAATTTTTACTATTAACTATTTGCTTCTCCATGGGAGAATGGAGAAGCATACATTTTATAAATTTTTTGAATGAATTTTATTAAACATTTTGATTCTAATGATTCTACCAGGGCTTTTCATTCTGTGGAATGAATATGTGATTGTTATAATTGTACTCTCCATTTTGCTTCGTTCTACTACAAAGTTTCAAGTATTTGTTTAATAGTCATAATTTAACTGTTTTATAATTATAAGAGAATTTCACCATAATATTCTGAACATCTGCAGTTTTAGTTAGATGTTGAATATTTTCAAGTGAATTTTATGCTAAATTTCAGCTTTCCAACGCCTTTTTTATAAATGTGTTCTCCTACAACATCAGAGTGCAGCGCCACATTAAATACGCACTACAATGACAATAGTTTAAAGCGATTTGAAGCATGTTTTATTTTCTGAACGGAAATATGGTTTTGGGGGGGGAGGGGGGGACAGAGCTTTGTGACGTCATTTGAGGGGGGTCTGACTTTTTGTGACGCTGTGTGACGAGGAGGGGGAGAAGTCAAAAATCGGCCAAAATGGCGTGACGTCATTTATGGGCGGCCCCTTTGCTTCCGCTCCCTCCACACCTTAATAACCGACACGAGCGCGCACACACATCGCCACCATCGCAGTGAAACGCATCGCCACCGCAGCCACCGCAACGGACGATGGCTAATTCAGATGAAGGGCAAACCCCAGTGTGATGGCTGTCCTGCCCGTCACGCGCAAGCGCTGCCGATCCTTGCAGCTGAATGAATGGGACAATTATTTGTATCGATAGAGGCTGACAATCCTTCCAGGGTACTGAATGGTTCAAAAAGTTGGGACCCTCTTTCTGTTGTGTGACTGTAAAAAAAAAATGTGTGTTTTTTTTTAATTCTCGTTGCTTTTGGGGAGCCATGGGGGTTGTAGAGACCTGACAAACGGGTCACGCCTTTGACACGGAATGAGAAAGTGCCAAGAAAGATCGTTGCAGAGTTTTAGCGGCGTCGTGTAAAATATGTACATTCATCAACGTGGGTAGCCGGTTTAAACAAAATATATAGCCGTAGGAGTTCATCAAAATGTCACTTCCGGCAAACTATGGGCAAAAATACTCCGTTGTATTTTTGTTGAGAATGTGAAAAACAATATATACATGTCTACAAATAATAAATGTGGATGAAAATATTAGTACGTGTTCAATGCAAGTTTTTGTTATGTAACTTCCGGTTTACATGTCAATTTCAGGAAAATAGCCGAATAACATTGTCTGCTTTTGACCATCATCAGTCATGTTCAATTCACTGTTGGATGAAGCCATCTGAAAGCCACCACTACCTCTCAATCCTGCCATGTAATATCAAAGGCTGAACCATAGGTGACCATAACACATATTTAACCTGCTATAGACTGTAAATTAAACGTTTGACATCTATTAATCGAGAACACGGTTGTAATCAGCTTTCCTTTCTGTAGTCACAATGTATGAATTACCGTTTGGTGTCAATCGTCTCTGTAGGGCTGTAGCCACACGGGACACCCGGGGTGACATGCAGTGCAGACTCTATCGAATAAATCAAACCACATTCAACTGGAAACAGACGTGACGGGATTAAACTTGTTACTATCGTTGAGTGGCAACCTTTTCTGACACAGAGGGAGAGGTGACTTACCAAAGGCGAGATGTTATCTCTCTCTCCTGGTACGCAGGAAGCGATGGGTTGTTGCATATTTGGAGTTGGGGAGTTCTCTCTCTCTCTCCCTCTGTTGCGTGGATTTTTATCCGGGGTCCTCCGGTTTCACCCTCTACATTAGAAACATGCATTTCGAGTATTTGTCTGCCACGATGAATGTCCACGTGTGATAATACAAGCCACTTGGATGAGCTGTCATGTGTGGCCAGGTTGCCTCTGAAAAAGAGCTGATAGGTCAGCGGGCTTTACCTGGTAAATAAAATATTTTATATAATTATGGAGGCGTCGGACACAGAGTTGAGTTTGTTATCAGTTAAATCGATTCCGTATCTCACACCGACCATGTAACCAATTCCCGTCACGAATACTATTACATTTGCAGGCATTTGTGTTCACAAATCAAACTCTTACATTTGTATTAATCTCATCTGTACGGTTTGCCATGTTTATTATTCTGTCTCATCCGTGTACAGTCTCGTTCATCTCATTAACATTTAGTTAACATTTGCGGTTTCAACTGATGAAGAATACGGTCATCCACATGCGTCTCGCATACAGAGCGCCACTGTCTTGTCTTGCTTGAGCGCTGAGCGCGTCGAATAACTCCGTTTCAGACCGTGGCGGGGCATTGGCATCGCGTGGCTGCCATGGACCATGTGAAAGCCATGATATGGGGGCCCCCATCTAAAATATCGCTCCCTCTGTCGTCGCCCAGCATCTGGGCCGTCCGTGGTGCAGTTTTGCACCACCTGCACACAATACCAAACGTACTGATAACGATTTGGTTTTGGCTGAACCCATACATGGTGATCTTATTTTTTTTGCCTTGGACCCATAACTTAGAGACAAGTCTTTTGCCTCTGACATCTGTCAGTTAACCGGCATTGAGTGAAGCAAGCCCGACTGCTGATGAGACATTGTATCAAAACCGGTCCAGCCGGTGTTTGCATGTACTGAATCAGTGCTGCTGACATTATGCACTCCCAGAAAGCTATTGGGTCAATGAGTTGTGTAAAGAGTTCAAGTATTTGTTCATGTAGAGAGACATAAATATATGGAGACAGCCTGCTTGTCGACTGTTATTTATTTTGGCCTGTTGAACGATCACCACCACACCACAAGGTGGCGGTACACAACAATATGCAGACAGAGACAGTACCTTGTCAAAATCTTTCGCAAAAAACACGCGGTGGAGGCTCCATCGGTGGCAATGCGGAGACACCTACGAGACCCGAGTAATGAAGACTGTAACGATAGCCATCATCATGGGACCTCCTTTGCCAGTACTAAAATATGAGAATCGGTTTTTCCCATTTTATCTGGCAACAAGGCAGGTGTTAAGTTGTTAAAATACCCAACTGAAACCTTTTACGAGGAATCATGTCTGTATAAACCACAATACTTGTGGTCAAAATGCAAACAAAAACACTCTGATAATATGATGCATTGTCTTTGAAACTGATTGGTCCACACCAGAGACATCTTTCTTTTGAGCCTCGTCTCAAACGGTGTTAGACCAGAGGACGCCTAAAGGCGTACAGCGCAAATACAATGCCACTATCAGAGTAATTACAGTGGCATTGTATTTGTGCTGTACGTCGAATTATCAGAGGGGCTTTATAGGGAATTCAGCCAGGGACCTCAGATATTGAGGAGCCCCAAAAATGAACTGCTTTACAATGGTTGAAAACACTGTGGAACATTTTTTTTGTTCCTGGGTAGTAAGTGTTATTTCCTAATTGCTTATGCCTCAAAAGTACAGAAAATTGCTATTATTCCTCACAAACATTGCTTTTGTGACCAGAACAGTGATATTTTGAGAAAACAGGCGAATTTGTCTTTTCGTTCACATAAAGTCAGAAAAAATAACATTAATCAAAATTAACATGTATTTGTACTAAAGTAATACAAAAATGACTACAAAAGATTTAGACAACCAAGGCGCACTACCACAGGCGGGACTGGCCACAGCGGACCGAGTTCTCTGTGGGGAGGAACAATCTCGACAAACTACTCGCTTCTAAATCTTTTTGTCGTCAACCGATCGCCAATTCTACGCCGCAATGCAACCACCGGATGGAAACGGTGGCTAAATGTGTCTTATTAACAGCGTGGCTGATGTCTCGTCGCCAGTGCATGAGAATGGATTGTTTCTATGTGCAGGGGTGGTGCGATCTGCCACCTTTATCTCCCCAGTGCTCATGTTTACGCATCACACCAGATGCTCAAAGTAAGGCTGAGTCGGCCAAGGGCCAGTTCATATATTCGCCACTGTTATTGTTTGCGAGTGAGAATTGAACTCGGGTGGCCGGATTCATAGCGCAGTGCACCAAACATCACACTCCCGCTCCCCATAGACTACAAAGCAAAGATCCCCTATATAGCCTTAACAGACTGTTGGGGTAAGTGCCGTTCGCGATCACCTATGAGGAAGGCTGGCACGGCACAGGAGCGGGTGGGTGGCCAGCACCACGCCCGGCCGCCTTTGTCTTCCCGGTGGCGATGTTTACACACCGCACCGGGTACTCGTTTCAGGCTGAGTCGACCTAGCGGAGGCCCAGGACCGATTCAGATAATCGTCACTGGTGTTGGCCGCGAGTCGGGAATGGAAGCCCAGGTCACCAGCTTCGCGGCGGAGTGCGCTCACCGCTGCACTACCGTATCCCCACACAAGACAAAGGTCCCCCGTATACTCTTTGGTTCTATTGGATAAAGTCACGTAGGTAAAAAATAAAATAATAAAAATCACGACGTTTCGGCCACAACACAAGCGGCCTTCATCAGGTGAAGGGACGAGACTGTCTGGAGGACAGCGCTGGAGTGAAAAAAGCCACGCTCAGATCACGACCTTTAAGCTTAAAGATTGTGATCTGAGCGTGGCTTTTTTCACTTAAAGGTCGTGATCTGAGCGTGGCTTTTTTCACTCCAGCGCTGTCCTCCAGACAGTCTCGTCCCTTCACCTGATGAAGGCCGCTTGTGCTGTGGCCGAAACGTCGTGATTTTTGTTATTTTATTTTTTACCTACGTGACTTTACCCAATAGAACCAAAGAGTATGGATCCTTGCAGTCACGAAAGCTTTAAATCTAGAATAGTCCCCCGTATAGCCTTAACAGACTGTCGGGGCAAATGCTGTTAGCGAGGAGCACCTATGAAGGCCGGCCCGGCACACGC